TAGTCTATGAAAAGGTATATACTATGAAATTAAGAGCTCGGGGCAAGCCCCTCGCTCTAAATGTCATAGTATATACCTTTCCATAGACTAACCTAGACTTACAAACTTAGAATATTGTAAAGTGCTCAAGGCTCAAATGATCTATTCAAAAATTAGTTTCATTGTCAGTGCAATGTTTATAATTGATGCATGACTTCCTTTTTGGGCATGTCATTTATGGATTAGTTTTAGTGATGTAAGGTCTTTCATATCATTTGGGAAATATTTTTTTTTAAAAAGCGTTATAGATATTAGGTGACACAACAGTAGAAAGAAAAGGTAGGAATTGGATATGTTTCTTGATTTTGAGTATGCATGTAAATCATGTAATATTTTAGTGAGGAATTATCCTTTTTTTTATTTACAGTTTAAATCAATTTAATACATTTGAGTTACAACTAAATTTTATTTCACAGCCAATATTTTGGTCCGGCTTTTTACATCAAATAATATTTCATTATTTCAGGGAAATGTTCAAAAATAATGCCTTTAAAAGTTTTTAATATGTTCAAAATTAAATTCCTGTTTTTTTTATCGGAATATTGGAAATAACTATTCTTCCCAACCACTGATCAAGTAATCAAAGTTTTGGAAAGCTATAGATTTAGGTTATTTTTTTTATCTGAAGGATTTTTTTTTCTTTTTTTTTCTTTGCTTTGGTATTGTTTAATTTTCTAGTAATTTGAAGTTATTAATATTTTCATAATAACATTCACGGTACACATTTTACTGTAACAGTAAACTTCCAACTTATTTTGAGATTTGTGTTTGTTTCACAAGTCAACTTTTAGTCAGTTTCAATCACTGTGTGATAAATCCTTCCAATCTGATAAATGTGCTTCAGGGCAGTTGTAACTCATTTATAGAAACTCTTTGTTTTGAACTGTAAATAGACCCAAATAATAGGATAATCCCTTACTAAGAACATGATTTACATTCATTCTTCACAATTAAGAGGCATCCAATCCTACAATTTCATTGGTCGAGAGCACTTTGCTATATTCTAAGTTATGTCATTCGAAGGTGTGAATATGTTCTAAATTGGTCAGACAATACTTGGTCATGTTTTATGAACATTTAAAACCCTCGGCTACGTCTCGAGCTTTAAATATTCATAAAACATGACCAAATATTATCTAACATATAATTAGCAAATTCTTGAGCTAGCTAATTAACTGGCTGAGTTCAAGTTCTAGATCATAAGCTGTACTGATATGTTTAAATGTTGATAACATACTGCAATGAAGATATATATATATTTTAATCATAGAATCTAGCATGTGTACTTCAAATATCTATCTGATAATTTTTAATGAATTTAACATTTAGAGAAAAAACAGCTTTAAGTACAAACAAAATACACCTCTGTTTGTGTAATATTAAAATCCAATATAAATGATTTAATTTTCTAGTCAAACAAGGGAGACAAATAAGTCGTGTAATATCAAAAGGCTCATTGCACATTACATGCATTGCCCTGAAACTGAAAGATTCGAATTAATGTGCATCTCGTTATGCATACATGTACAAACATTACTTGTTGATGTGTTGTGCCTCTTTTTGGCGTAACTGGATCACATCATAAGTTCTTCAAGAGAAGATTTGTAACTAGACATAAACGATAAACTTCTCAGTTGAAAAGTGAACCTTATATGAAGTACTTTATCCGATTTCACAAACAAGCCTTATATTCACAAATACAAACATACACCATGTAACCTATCATTCATACTAGTCTCTTGTGTGAAGAAATGAACAACTAAAAGTAAAACCAAATATGAGGGAATATTGACATGATTCCTGTCATGAATGCGCACATCGAACTTCAGAGTTGCAACCTCTTTAATTCACCGTAAGGTTATGATATACATGTATCTTGTTATTTATTCACATGCTACTAAAACATGAAAACAACGCATAATAATGACAAATAAGACATTGCTTATGTTTCGTTTAGACTAGTTTTTTGTCAGGAGATTTACTGGTTGATTAATGTGATCATATTTTGGTCTCGCGGTGATAACAATTTGTTTACTGATAAGTTGAAAAAGAAAGTCATAGAACATAGCAATAGCAGTACAAATACGGAATGAAACACATAATCATTTACAATTTATATGTCAATTTTCAATTTAAAATCAAAATAATATATAATTTCAACTTCAAATAAATGAAGGAAATAAAACAATCAATATTTTGATAATTCAAAGTTTGAAAAACATACATTTGTAGAGCATATGATATTGCTTAATTTGCTTTCCAAATTAAATATCGATTACTTAATCGTAACAATAACGTATCTATGTATTTATACAATTTGTATTTATATGACAGAATAATTGCAAGGGATTGATTAATACCCAAGGGTAAAAAACGATTTTTATAGAACGACAATTCTGATATACATGTACACATGAATAATTTTGTTTTTTCATATGATTTTACAACAGCAATCTAATAACACAAGTCTCGCTAGTGGTGACATATTAGTGTAAATAAAAGAGAACACAAAACTATTATCATACTATATGTTTTGTTGAACATCTAAAATATAAATATATCGCGACTGTGATACAAGTAAGAGGTTTAGCTAGCTATAAAACCAAGTTTAATCCACTATTTTCTACATAAGGAAATGTCTGTACCAAGTCATAGAAATGCCTTAAATAATTCAAAGTTTTTAAAATTTCAATGACATATACTATTGATTCAATTCCTTTCCAATATAAATACCGTTTGTGAAATTGTAACAATAACCATTTGTTTATACAATTTAATAATGTCAAGGGATTAAAATATCGACCATGGACAGATATAATACCCAAGGGTACAAACTGATCTTTACCGAACATCAATTCGGAACACAATACGTGACTGTGATGTAGACTTTATACAAATAATCATGCATAATTTATTATTTGATATGATTTTACAACAGAGAATCTACTGACACAAGTCTAGCAAGTAAAGGTTTATTGTGCATAAAAGAGTACAAAAAGATTATCATACTATATATAAACTAGAAAATAATTATATTGCAAATATAAAGATACTTGTCATTCAACACATGCTGTTGTCTTAATACAACGTTTGCTTCGGTTTTCTTCCAAGTCCGATGATTTGTGATCTTTAAATATCATGTTGTTTCATGGTATTCTAAAATAATGGTCATTGGAAAACATTTTCATGTTTCTTAACAAATGTTCATTAATATCAAAACAAAAAAATTAATTTGATTAAGACTGCGTCCTTTCGTGTGAATTTTGTTCGATAGTTAATCTTTTTATATCTTTGTTAATAAAAAAGCAACACCTATGTTTCGCTTTCCGCGACTTTTGTCGCAGGCGAGACAAACTGGGATTGATCTTAGATGCTTCGGTAGGGTCACCATATTCTGCTCAACATGTTGCACCATTCTTGTTCTTCAAATCTTAATTAAGCCAACAACGAAATGCACCACACGAATAAATATATATAGTTATATTTGTATATAGTCTAAATGCCGAGTTGTCTGAGGAACAGGGCAAAGTGAATTTGGTTTTGCCGTTGAAGTCTCAACAAAACGAGTTCGACTGCTGATGAAGGCACGATTAACTGAAGTAGGGTCAATTGCTATTAATCTTTATCAAACCATAGGCCATTTTTGATTAGTCTATCAACATTTATAAAATTCACAGCAACACAGCTCCATACGTGTTCTCTGAGGTGCAAACATATTCGTGTCGCATTTCAGAGCACTAAACTATAAACATCTAAATATTGACAAAAAACTGGAATTTGTACAGATAGTGACAAATTTTAGCATGTCCTAAAACCGCAAATGAACGACATCTTAACCCCGAAAACATTTTATGGAGTAGCGAATGATACACATTATATCCTCTGAGACTGCGACGTCTTCCGATTCAGATTTTACTTAAACATGCAAAATTTGAACTTCTGCGTATAAATGCCCTCCAACGCAATATGCACCTTTGAATAACATTTTTTCAATTGAAATTTTGCAAAATTGTTAAAAAGTTTAAGTATATGATATATTCATGCAGACTCTTATTATTCAGTTTCCAGTAGAATATGCAATTTTCAGATTTTGAATGAAACAAATACAGGGGTAATGGACATACCTCTTTATTATTTTGTTTCAACATAATTTAAACAGCAACATCGAAAGTACTAAATAACATTTTGATGTGAAAATTGTAGAAAAACAAAATTCCGAAAGGTTTTGCCAACAAATGCTTTGATATAGACCTTTTGTGGATCTAATTCCAGTAGTCTTTAAGACTTTTGTGACTGAAAGAAATACCGAGGAAATAAACTTACATCGTTTTAACTGTAATATATGCAGTTTAAACATTGCTGCATGAAATCCACAATCTGATTAAGATACAGAACATTTGCTGGTGGCAAGGATATGGAAATACCCTGTTGAATTCTCAATTATGATGACCTTTTAAGGATCTTTATGGTTTGTCTTCAAAACGTCACACATGAAGCGGTATACAAACTAATTACATTGGTTGACTTTAAATGGATCAGAACAGAAAGTAAGACGAGACGTGACTTGTAAGATTATCGTTTTAGCACGATTAGTGCATTTAAATCAAGTTTGCCTTTTTATGATCAATGATAACCACAACTTTGTATTCAAATCTTAAGGTTTTTTTTTCTGTTTCCAAGCATTACTACGCGTGATGCTGGGAAAGATTTGCAATATTTGAATACCCATAAGGTACTGAAAGGACAGCGATTCAATACATAATAACATGCACTGATGAAGTTGGTTTTATTAATTTATTCTTTTATTGTTTAATTTACTAATTTGTGTTTGCTGTTATATCTTTATAATACGTATACTTTTTTTCATTAGTTTTTCGTTGAATTTATTTTTCGTGCAAACATTTTCAATTTTAATGTAGGGAACACTGAGAGAGAAAAAAACAACCTGAATAATTACTTACCGTCAGACCTCTGAAACTATACAAACAATCAAATCCAAAACACTTAAATGACAGAGAGTGAAAATCCAAACACAAATGTGAAACAGTGTTGACATGCTGTCATACTGGGATACTTAATCGTTTTATTCCTACATTGAATAGTGTCAAGAGTCCTCGTAACTCAGATTACAAAATCAATATGACGCTTAATTTCATGATGCAGTCACATTTTTTATATTAATTTTCCTCGAAAGAAATTAAGATGTAATAATGAAATAATATTAAATGATATTTACGTTTTCTGTTTTTGTCTCTAGTATTGTGTAATTTATTACTCTATATATCACGTATTTTCCCCATTAATATAACAAACAGAACTTTGTCCTGATGATTGAATTTTTATTGGATTTTTTGCGTACTTTAACGGCCATTTATTTTGCACAACAACATTAAATTATTATGTTTTTATGCATAATACAACATTTTCTGATTTAAATGTTGGTATAAATGGTAGTAACTTGTGGCAAAACGTATGATGTCATAATAAATTACATGATTTTTGTTGTTGTTGTTGTTGTTTTTTTTTTTTTTTTTGTTATTGTATGTTTGCCAATTCTTTAATTGACCATCTAATTAGAAATCGATTTCAACGATTTGTTTCCAACATATTTCTTTGCCAATAAAGAGCATACGGAAATTGCAATTTTTTTAGTAAGTAATGTGTTTAATCTTTAATTAAAAGTTTTTCAAATCTTTAGATAACATTTTATCTTTATCATATCTGAGGTAAAAGCGTTTGATATTAGCATTTAGGATCATTATAATTGATTAAAACGCCTACAGCTATATCACTTTCAACTTTGGGGACGACCATCTGATTTACTAGGGGGGGGGGGGGGGAGGGTCTTTATGGAAATGTGTCTCCTTGACAATTGTACATCATTTCCTTATGTCTTTATTTGAACTAAAGTTTAAACAACACATGAATTGGTATCTACCCTTACATATATGGTCATATTACTTTGATCAAGATCTTACACAATAACATTATTCTTATATTTTCAGGAATTTTTCTTCATTATTCAATATTTATTTACAAATGTAGGCCTTGCTGAAATAAAATGTGGTACATGTATTAAGTTTCATGTAAACTAAGTTATAACTTGGTTTTCATAAGGAACAACAATATAATATATCTTCTTCATGTATTAACACTCTAAACAAGATATGTTCATACCACTTTTCTTGATTTATTACCCTTTTGGTGGGGTTCGTGTCGCTCAGTCATTGGTTTTCTATGTTGTTTGGTGTACTGTTGTTCGTCTGTTTGTCTTTTTTCTTTTTTGGTCATGGCGTTGTTAGTTTATTTTTGACTTATGAGTTTGAATGTCCCTTTGGTATCCTACGCCTCTCTTTTATTGAAGTCAATCAATAATTCTAAATGTGAAAATTATTGGTATCAGTTTTTAAAAAATAATCGCGTTGCCGTCCGTAAATATAATGTAAAAAGGGATAATATATCGCGGTTGCATTCAAGAATCATTTTGAATAGTTACACAGTGCAATCTTTTATGAATACAAAGATAACTGGGAATTTTGAGGTTTCAAATCAGTGGTTTCAGTGTTATGGGATTTAAATCGTCAAACATTTGGCAATGTATAATATGTCTCAGGCTTACTTATGTATTATATGAGTAACAGGATGGGTGTCGCATATGGAGCATCATCTGCTTACCTTTTCCAGAGCACATGAAATCACTCTGGGTTTGTTTGTAGGGTTTGAGTAGCTCAATTTTAGGTTTTCTATATTGTATTTGTATACTGTTTGCCTTTTGATCTTTTTTTGTGTTTTTGCCATGGCATTGTCAGGTTTTGTTTCAACAAATGTGTTTGAATATCCCTGTGGTATCTTTCGCCTCATTTTTTCTGTAACAAACAAAACTGTTGACCGAAACGGCATATATGTGTCTCACTAGCGACACGATTTCTTAGTCTTATATCTCTATAAGTATATACCAGAATAGTCGCCCAATCTGTTACCTATTATGTCTGTTTGTTTCGTTCACACATCGTTGTCAATATTATGAAATTTTATGCTACTGTCATACAAGTGAAAGGTTTAGAGAGCTTTAAAACCTGGTTTAATTCACCATTTTTTACATATGGAAATGCCTGTACCAAGTCAGGAATATGACAGTTGTTTTCCATTCATTTGATGTGTTTGAGCTTTTGATTTTGGCATTTTATAAGGGACTTTCCGATTTGAATTTTCCTTGAAGTTCGCTAATTTTGTTATTTTACTTTTTACATTGCCAATTGTGTCATATTATTGCCGATTGTGACATTTTGACTGAGTGTGCATTCATATGACCCATAATGCATGCAAAGCAGGAAATGATTATCCTATTGAAGCACCCGGTATCGCTCCATTTAGAGTTAATGTGATTCCCTCAGTTTGTGATTGTCACCTTGATTCGTCTTCCGAATCAATTGATGAGTTTGAACAAAGGTAATCTACTGTTGCCTTATTTTAATGTTTGCTTTACTTTAAACCTTAGGAAATTCACATTTTTGTACCTTCAATTACATGTTTCAAAACATACAATGTCCATTCGTACTGACATGCTTGTCATGCACATCTGGTGCAACTATATAGGATCATTGATTAATTGATTGGTTGGTTTTAAACGACACTTTCAGCAATACTAGTAATAGATTATTCGTGGCGGTGAGTTTTTATTGGTAGATGTAGCCAGATTGCACAGGGAGAACCATTGACCTTCGAAGGGAAAACTTACAATCCGAGTCAATTAGGATTGGAGTCAAGCGCACCTACTACGTGCAGGGTTCGAACTCACAACAACAGTGTTGACAGAGTAGTGATACAGTAGTTGGACTACTTAGCACCGAGGCCCCTGTGATCATTCATTCAATCTTTAGTATATAGTATGTAAAACGACATCATACGGTGTTTATATATCCCAACTCGTTCGGTATGCCCGTGTGTGTAGTGATGTCATAGATTTTAACGAACGTAATCAATGCATCACTGGTAAATTATTAAGTCAGGGATTTCGTTACCATAAATTACTTAAAACTTTTACTAAATTATTTCATAGATACAAAGATTTGATTAGTAAATTTGGCTGTACCTGTAGAAAACTTATTAAAAATGGTATTTCACATCCTAAATTTTACGGTAATATTGTACTTAAAGCGCGGAAATCACTATGTGATCCGTGTAAACTCATCGAACCTTTAAACAAACTTATTAGTAAGGGTTATCGTACCAATGTTGTAATTAGATCTCTGAATTTAGTTTACATTGGCACTAATATCGATTTTGTCATTAGCAAATTAAAACATAACTAAATTTGTATTTTCTTTTCAAACGGGATGTATAGAGACACACACACGTTCATTTATATCTATAAAGAAGTAACTCCTAACTATCCTACTACCTGTCGATACATTTATTTTTGGCATTGCACAAGTCATGTCTTCTTTGACTGTTCATGACGTTAAAATACTAAATCCCTGGGATGTGTTTTTGTTGATTTCAGTCTCTGATGCATGATGTTTTATTATTAATTGTTTTGGCTTTTAACTAGCTGTCAGTAACTGCGAGTACTCTCAAATCGTACTTTTTTTTTTAATTTGACCGGTTTATACTATTTTTAATGCTTTTTTTGTTATTTAATGTTAACATGGATCTTTTCTATATACCATCTTTGATTATTTGGTATTACTACAAATTTTCACTTCTTCGTACTATGAACATCAAAATTATTTCATTTCTCCTTAAATACTGTTATTGCACCTGTACAGGAAGTTGTATCTAGCACTTATTGTATAGTTTTATTGTTGATATTCACCCCATATGTACCAAGTGTTAAATTAGTTTTATTGATATTAAAGAAATTTCTTGGTATTCCTAAACGGAAGATTTTATACACACAGAAGAAGAAGTATACTTAACAACAAAATTATTTTCATTTACCTGTGCATAATATGACGCAGGTTTTTTCAAAAGTGATGATTTTCTAAATATTTTTTAACATTTCACAGTGCTACCATACTTTAACTTTGTTTAAACCTGTTGATTTACTTTTGACCTTAAAAATATTTATCCCTTATAATTTTGATAAACTATGTATTTGCATTCAGGTATCACAGATCAAATGTATTCGTTCATTGTGTGTTAATTTACGTTTTTTGATTGAGTTAAGCCTTCCAATTGATATTTTATAGTGTGTCTTTCTATGTTGTGATGTTATACTATTGTTTCAGAAAAGGGAGAAGGTTTGGTACCATTAAAACGTTTAATCCCGCTGCAAATGTTTGCACCTGTCATAAGTCAGAAATCTGATGTACAGTAGTTGTCGTCTGTTTATGTAGTTCATACGTGTTTCTCGTTTTTATATAGATTAGATCGTTGGTTTTCCCGTTTGAATGGTTTTACACTAGTAATTTTTGGGGCCCTTTATAGCTTGCTGTTCGGTGTGAGCCAATGCTCCGTGTTGAAGGCCGTACCTTGACCTATAATGGTTTACTTTTATAAATTGTTACTTGGATGGAGAGTTGTCTCATTGGCACTCATACCACATCTTCCTATATCTATATGATGTTTAGACTGAGTATAATAATTGTATAACTCGCCATTTTTTCAATGTATTACAAAATGCTATCCAAACAATACCTTCTTACAGAAAATTAAATAAGCTTCTACTAACAAGGGATTAGTGACCATCGGAAAATAATTGGAACTCATAATTAGACCTTCACGTTGATTCATTCCGGTTTCTCTTCCAGCGTACTCAATTAATATTCAATTCAAATTACCCTTGTAACTCGATAAACACTGTATGAAAAGGGAGATATCAATTGTTTGGTAGAGTTCTATTGTATGATACTATAGAATTAAGTAGATTGATAGAATATTGAGACTTTTAATAAAATAACCATTCTTCGTCAACACATATTAATCTTTCAAAAGGACGTTTATGTAAATGCACGATTTATATGATAGAAGATCCGACAATTGCCTGATATTACAATAAAACTATCGCATCTAGCATAATAGATAATGAGTTGTCATTTTAGATAAAAGAAGTTTTTAACATCAAATGCCCTGCAGAAACAAAGCTTTTGTAATTACAAA